ATAATACCAAAAATGGGATTGATAAGTACCAAAGTTGTTAATTCTACCGAAAATGTATATTTTAATCAAGAAATGTATAAGAAGAAGCAAAATGTAAATCAAACTGTAAAGCGTGTAGCGTGTGTAATGAAACTAAGCAACGAGTTATATGTGGTTCCTTTTACTTGCATAATTGCTGAGAGCGAGGATTTAGAACGAGAGAGTGTCGTCTCAGCCGAGTGTGGCGCTGTCGAGTGTTGGTTGTCTCTGAGAGGGAGATAAATCAAAAAGGAATGAATAATTCGATGAATACCGCATGGCGCATGCCATGGGAAGTGGAGAAAGGGAAGAAAAATTCAGTTTGTTCTGAAAATCAAAGACGGACAAGTGCTAGTAGTTGACCGCGACTCACTGCGCATCAGCATGAAAATGCAAGAAGAAGAGCAGCAAATTTATCAGCCCCTGACATCAGAAGTGGGATCGGCTCAGGCCCACCGTGATAGTGAATGGCGATCTTTGTTAGAAGCACAAAATGTACGATTTATCAAAATACTAAAAACAATGCAGCAGCTTGCTTCAACAAATACAAGTGAAAAAGTGGTCAGACTGCAAAAGTTCAATCCAGACGTAGCTGAAGCTGACGCCAGTGCGTGGCGCAAAACAGCCTTCGCTGAGCGAAGCACTAGAAGAACTGGTGCAAATGCTGTACACTGTAATTTACAAATACTGTCCACCATACAAATTTGTCAATTTAATTTGAAAATCATGTTAATGTAGTTGAAGACGAGTATTTTAAACATTACATAATGATTGGTGAAATCTTGGCACTTGGCTTTGGCATATAGATGAATGCTGATAGATTTGATATTTTTAAAACTAAACGAGTCAATTCAATATCTGATGAAACAATTATAAACTATAATGAGCTATTTGATAAAAATTACGATTTAAGTGATAGTGATAAGTTGAAATTGAAGAACATTTTTTTTCCATACACTATTTTCAGTTATTATTGGAATGTCGAGCAGACGTGCCACGACTAGAGAATTAGAAATACGTTTATTGGGTGCCAACAATACTGTGAAGAGACACCCATATCGACATAGCGTAGATGAAAAAGAATTAGTAAGAGATAAAATCAAAGAAATGTTGGCGGCAAACGTAATACGTCCACGTAATTCTCCATTCGCAAGTCCAATTTTGTTAGTAAAAAAGAAAGACGGCAGTGATCGTTTGTCCATAGAACATAGAGAGCTAAATGCAAATACAGTGGCTGACAAATATCCGTTGCCTCTAATATCAGATCAAGTGAACAGACTCCGTTGGAGTAAATACTTTTCTTGCTTAGTGGATTTAATCAGAATCCAATACATGCAGAATCCATAGAGCGAACCGGTTTTGTAACCCCTGAGGGCCAGTATGAGTTTCTATCTATGCCATTTGGTCGGAAGAATACCTCTTCGATTTTTCAGCAAGCTATAGCGCGGGCACTAGGTGTCTTGCCGTATTCCTATGCAATTGCTTATATTGATGATGTGGTAATAGTATCGAGATCAAAAGAGGGAGCATTTGAAATATTGACAGTCGTACTGGGGGCTCTATCCGAAGCAGGATTTTTATTAAATACAAAAAAAAAAGGGTCTTTTCTGAAAACCAAAATAGAATATCTTGGCTACTTGGTCAAGAACGGTAGTATTGAACCAAATCCGCGAAAAATACAAGCTCTGGCTGGACTATCTCAACCTAAGAATGTTTCACAATTAAGACAATTTATAGGTTTAGCTTCGTACCTCCGTAAACTTCGTACTTCCCACAGTTCTCTGAACAGATAAAACCGTTGTATCAGTTGACCTTCAAAAACAGTAGCTTTGTTTGGAAATCAGACAAGCAGAAGAGTATCTCAATATCATTTTTCGTATTCAGTATTCATTTTTTCGATTTTAATTATCTTCAATCCTCAATATCCCATAGAGCTGCATACAGATGCAAGTGCAAGTGGCTATGCTACCATTCTCATGCACAAAATACCAAATGTACATCGCCCTCAAAATCGAAGTATGAACTAGAGACCCTCGCAGTATACAACGCTGTAAAAAGTTTCCGCCATTACCTTCACGGTCAAAAGTTTCTATTACTTTTAGATTGTAATTCATTGAAAGCAAGTCGAACCAAAGTAGAACTAACGCCGAGAGTACACCGTTGGTGGTCATATTAACAATAATTTGATTTCGCTGAGCAGCAGCGTGATTCGCGCTTAAGAGAAATTATAGCCCAGTTGAATGATGGAGAGATGCAGGAGAGTTTTGGGAACACAAGACACGGTGTTTACCTGTAATCATGGTCATGTCCATGAAGCAATCACATGTACAAGTATGTACGAAAATTCATAGAGATCTGCATAACACGCAAACTAGCAAAGCCTTCAACAGGGAAAATTCAAATGGAATTGCATTCAATTCCGAAAGTTTAAATACCTTGGCATAGTGTGCAAGTTAACACAGTTAAGGAGTAACTTATAAGTCGGTACAAATCTTCGGTGTTTCTCAGATCACCCTAGTGCCTTTATGTGCAGACCAAGCATAAGTCGCCTTTAGGGACCGTGCCTGGTTCCCGGCATGGTAAGTTATGCATCTTCTGCTAGTGTCAGCATTTTTGTATGACAAGCGGCCGGCTTGCCGGCCACGTACAATTTTTAAGTTCAGTTTGATTTTGATAAGAAAAGAGCGCATAGCTCTATTAAAACAACTCCAGCGAAAGCTTTATAATTATTGAATTGGTTATCGAGCCTTAAGGGCCGTTAATAACGGAGAGAATTTATCCCACCATATTTCTGCAATATTCAGGAACATTGAGCCCGCCAATAAAGGAGGCCAGCGGAACACCCGGAGAAGAGTTCTCCATCCCATGTCAACAGGCAGCCACGTCATAGCCCATCTTCACGGACTGCGGCGAGGAGCTGCACACTCACACCAAAAAGAAAATTTGCATATTGATATTAGTGGAAAGTTGAGTGGTAAAATTTTTTTTTTTTTATTATAGTTTGCTTTTATTTATTGAATCTACTCTTAATTTTGAGACTAACAATAAGTTGACGAATCTTAACATTAAAATTTAACTAACAGTATACTAAGACTGCATTCTGGTTGCGCGTCCCTCAGGTCGGTCGCTGGGTGGGCAGGTCATTGCGACGAAGGCGTGATTGGTTGCTCAACCTTGTTAGACCTCTCGCCAGGTGGTTAGGGTGCACCGATAGCTTGGTGAAGTACTTTACCTTTTGTTCTGGGATCACTTCTTTGACTGGTTGAATGTTTAAGTCGCGGTGTATGTTTTCGTTGCGAACGTACCACGGTGCCCCGGTGATTGTTCTCAGGATCTTCGACTGAACTCTCTGAACAATGTCAATGTTGCTATTGCTGGCGTTCCCCCATAACTGGGAGCCGTACATCCATATAGGTTTTAGTACCGAGTTGTACAGCATGATTTTATATTCAAGGCTAAGAGGTGACCGGGCGTTGATAAGCCAATGAATCCTGCTGGCTTTTAGCTTTAGGTTTGATCTTTTGGCTTCAATGTGCCGGCGCCATGTGAGTCTTCTGTCGAGATGTACTTCTAGGTATGTTACTTCGTTTGCTTGTGGGAGTAGAGTGTTGTTTAACGTAATCGGCGGGCAGTTTTGCCTGTTCAGAGTGAACGTAACTTGTTTGCATTTTAATTCGTTCACTTTAATTCGCCAATCTGATAGCCATTTTTCAACATCGACCATATGACGAGCTAGCTGCGCAGTTGCTTGAATCGGGCATTTAGAACGGCTAAGAATAGCTGTGTCATCGGCAAACGTAGATGTGGTTAGACGTGTGCTTGTCAGGATGTCTGCTGTGTAGAGGACATATAGTGTTGGCCCTAGCACGCTACCTTGAGGAACTCCAGCTCCAACAGTGTAATCATCAGATATAGCAGTGTTGCACCTCACAACAAATTTTCTGTCGTGAAGGTAAGACTCTAAAATCTTGTGGGTGCTGTAGGGGAGCATTGTCTTGATCTTGTACATTAGACCTTCTAGCCAGACTCTATCAAATGCTTGAGAGACATCTAAAAATATGGCAGTATAGTACTATCGTTTTTCGAAAGCGTTTCGAATTTCTGATGTTATCCGGTTGACCTTCTCAATTGTTACATGTTTTTCACGAAACCCAAATTGGTGTGACGGGATTCCTTCCTGGATTCTCAGGTATATGTTTATCCAAGTCATTAGGCATTTTTCAAAGAGTAGGCTTATAGGTCTATATGACGTGGGGATAGTGTGGTCTTTCCCCGGCTTTGCTATCATAATTATAATTGACTTTTTCCATCTCACTGGAAAGTGGCCAAGTTTTGCGATGGCTTTAAAGAGCTGGGTGCAAACGGCGCAGTATGGGAGCTTAATGATCATTTTGGGAGTTATGAGGTCGCAGCCCGGGGATTTTTTCGGATTCAGTTGTCTTTTGATGATATTTACGATTTCGTTAGGGCGAAACTCAATTGGCTCATGTTGAGGCTGGGGCTCATATGATAGAGTCGGCAAAGTAAACGCATTAGTGGCAGGAATTGGTTGGAAAACATTTTTAAGGTGTGTTAGTTTTAAGGAAAGATGAAAAGAAATAATTATTTGAATACGCAGGCAAAATGTAAACAAACCACCTTAAAAACCAATGTACAAAAGCTTATCAGTTTCACTCAATCTTGAGCACAGCCGAGTTGTTGTGATCTAACTGATAAGCTTTTCAGTTCGTGGCTATGCGAAGTGTTATGCTGCTCTCGGGAGAACATTAACCGATCGAACCTCGAAGCAGCTGGCAGCAATAAACTTTGGAACCAACTTCGTTTCGTTTGTCTCGTTTTTTTGGAAATTCCCCAGCCGCTAGTCGCAAGTCTTTTTTTTGTTTAAATTTTTAAAGTAATTTTTCCGGGAAAACTCTACCGGATTTTCATGGCGCCCGAACAGGGACTACGGCTAGTTTTGTTATTAATTTTCGCGTCGGAAAAACAATCGAAAAACAGTGCACCTCTCGTCGTCTCGGCATCTGTTTAGTTTTTTTAAAGTTGTTGGCGAAAATTCTAGCTGGTGGAATTCGGCGAAGCAGTGAAGTGTTGGCGAAAGCAGTTGGATACGGAAGGAAAGTGCTTGGAAAATTATGCCTAACAACAACCAGGTATTCAGTGCCAAAAATTAAAATTTGTGAGCACTCCACCTTATGTGTGTATGCGTGCATTTTACATGGTATTAATTCTTGGCACCTTTATATTAGAAATATTATTACACCCCAAATATACCCTAACTTCCGAATAATAAAATAAAAAAAGTGAACTGCCTTTGACAAAACTTACGGTGTTTTAAATTTTGCGAGAATTTGAAAATTTTATGTGCGTTATATACATACGCTGCAACTTGAAAAGTACAGCTATATCTACATACATATGTACAAACATACCAGCGTTTCGCCGCCAATTTCGATTCCCTTTTGTGCATTTGCAGAGCAGTTATTTGTCTGCTATATATAAGTGTCAGTGGCTTCTATGCTGTACATACATATGTATGTACATATGTAAAACAATACATCGGTTAATTTTTAGCGCCAATTGCAGCGGCAGTGGTTTTCAAACTGTATATAGCCAAAAGTTCCTACAAAACTCGGCAGTGAATTTAAGCCCTGCTCACAGTTTTATGTTTATATGTACATATTTGCCTGCATATTAATTCGGTAAATATTCAAAGATTCGGCCTGGAGAAAAAGTTTAATACATTTGTTGGTTTTTTTTTTGCCGGTGTTTGTGGGCATCTTTAACCCGTATGGGATCCACTTAAATAGTTTGGACAATTTATTTGTCAAATGAAATTCAACATTTGTGCATTTTTCGGCTTTGGTTAAACGGCAAATACACATACAAACGTATTTTGTGCATTTTGGTGGTGCTTCTGCGCACATTTAACCCCTTATCCAACCCAATAAATTTTTTTTGGAGAAATTAAATTTGTTTAATTTTTAAAATTTAAAATTTAGATATTGTTGGAAATTTATTAAGGAAGCATTTGAGCATTTTGGAAATAAATTTATTCAACCCTTGTGTCCGACTGGTTTTACTTGGAGTATTTTATTTTTTTTATATTAACCTAAAATGTCTGAGAAAGAAAAGGAATCATCGTCAAAGCCTAGTGCTAAACTAATAGTGGCTATGCAAAAACACGGCAGGGTAATGAGTGACATTCAACGTATGAGAACCTCATTCGAGGAAAAAACCATTTCATTCGATAGGTTTCAAATGGAATACCGAATGCAACTCTTCGAATCATATTGCGAGAAATTGATGGATATTCAAGGAGATATCGATGTACTAAATCCAGTGAATGATTTAAGAGCGTCTGTTGAGGAGATGTGCATAATTACAAAAGCGTTATATCGGTCCGCAATGAGAGAATGCGAGCCTCAGAGACTTAGTCAAAGTGATATAGGTGGTTATCGTCATTCGTCTCAGTTGCCAAAAATGAATCTACCGAAATTTAGTGGAAAACATTCCGACTAAAAAATTTTATAAGTCTTTTTGAGAGTTTAGTTCATAACGACCCATCTCTAACAAACATAGAGAAATTTAACCATTTGCTAACATGTCTAACAGATGATGCATTAGGTACTGTGAAAGCTTTTCAAATTTCGGATTTAAATTATGAGAAGGCATTGGCTAGTCTAAAAAACGTGTACGATAATAAATGTTTGATCTTTTTTGACACGATTTCTCAGCTGTTTGACCTCCCGCAAGTATCAAAACCCTCTGCATCAGGCTTGAGGTCTCTTATAGATGAAATATCGGCCCTCTACGCATCGTTACAGTCCTTGGGTAGTGAAAAGGAAATAAACAACGCAATTTTTATTCACATAGCAATGTCCAGAGTAGATCACACAACAAAATCCAAATTTGAGGAACAGCTAGATTATAATACTCTGCCTACATGGTCTGATTGTGCGACTCTGTTGAATCGGCGATATCAACATTTAGCTGCTGAAGAGTCAACCAAGAGTAAAGGGAAGCCTAACCAAGGTTCCAATAGAGGATATTCCAAATCTTCCTTCTCATGCACACAAACAGATCGCAGACCTGAATCAAAATGTCGATATTGCTCAGCGACAAACCATAGTTTAGGCAGTTGTCAACCTTTCATGGCTTTATCAGTGATCCAACGGTTCGATTTTACGAAACACAATAGGTTGTGTATTAAATGTCTGAATCCAGGTCATCCAGTCAAGAAGTGCAAAGCAGTAAAGTGTCGCGTTTGCTCCAAACCTCATAACACACTTCTTCACAGATACGGGGTAGAGCAGCAACCAACTTCTTCGGGATCACTTCCTCAAGCGCAAGCCCAAGCACCTTCAGTAGCATTTGATCATCCCAATCAAGCCCATTCTTGTCATGTTGCAACTAGTGACCAAGTTATTCTTGCTACGGCGGTCGTTAAGGTACGGGATAGATTTGGACAGTTTCAATTAGCACGAGCTCTGTTAGACTCAGGGTCTCAAATAAACTTTATGACCGAGGACTTAGCACAGCGTTTGCGGTTACGCAGGAAAGAATCCTATTTGAATATCACTACTGTAGGGAAGAACGACTCGGTAGTACGGCACAAAGTCCACGCGTCGATTCATTCTCGCGTCAATGCTCATAGTTTCGCTACTGATTTTTGGGTATTAAGCTCCATTTCATCATATCAACCAGATAACGAAGTCAATTGTGCACAGTGGAAAATTCCACCAAATATTGAATTAGCAGACCCTCGTTTTCACAAGCCTGCAAAAGTAGACTTACTGATTGGGGCAGAAACCTTTTTCGAACTTCTCAGCGTAGGTCAAATAAAATTGGGTTCAGAACATCCTTCAATACAAAAAACTTTATTAGGATGGATTGTTTCGGGAAAGTACACTCAACGCGTATCGAATAATGCTCAAGTATGCAGCGTCACTGGTAGTGAAAATATAAGTTCTCTCGACTCTCTTGTAGAACGTTTTTGGGAATTGGAACACGTCCCGGAGAGATCGAAGGCTGTGTATACAGCTGAACAAGTTGCTTGCGAGCAGCACTTTGAGAAAACAGTACACAGGCTTTCGTCAGGTCGTTTTGAGGTTAAGTTGCCATTTAAGACAAATCCAAGTGTTTTAGGCTTATCCTTCGAAACGGCAAGGCGCAGATTTCTTGCGTTGGAGCGCAAGCTTGCAAATAATCGCGAGTTACATGACATGTATCAAGAGTTTATGAAAGAGTATCTTAACCTTGGGCATATGTCGCTGCTTCCAACACCTCCTCCAGGACAACACTATTACATTCCACATCAATGTGTCCTGAGACCTGATAGTAGCACCACAAAGTTGCGAGTTGTTTTTGACGCTTCAAGTAAAACGTCAACCTCGATCTCATTAAATGAGACTCTAATGGTGGGTGCAACGATTCAGAGGGAGCTTTACGCTATTTTGGCAAGATTTCGATTACACAAATATGCCTTGACTGCTGATATCTCGAAGATGTATAGGCAAGTTAACATTGCCAATGAAGACAGAAATTTCCAACTTATCGTGTGGAGGGAAAAGTCGACGCAAGCTCTCCAAACCTATCGCCTCAACACTGTCACTTATGGAACAGCCTCTGCTCCATTTTTGGCCATTCGTTGCCTCTTTGAACTGGCAAAAATTTACTCTGAGTCACATCCTGTCGCATCAGAGGTAATTTCAAGTGATTTCTATGTAGACGATATGCTCACAGGAGCAAACAGTTTAGAAGAGTTGGAAGTCATTCGCAAAGAAGTGACCAAGGTGTTAGAGTTCGGGGGTTTCCAGCTGGCCAAATGGGCAACAAATCACCCAAGTTTGATGACTAACCAGGGATCAGAAAAATCGCTTATGTTCAACACTTCCGAGTCTGTGAAAACGCTTGGGATGAGATGGAACCCTCAGAGTGATGCCTTTCATTATAGTTTGGAGGATTCGTTTCAGTCCCTACCACCAACTAAACGCAACATTTTATCAGTCACAGCCCGTTTGTTTGATCCCTTGGGATTGTTGTGCCCGCTGATCACGAGAGCTAAAATCTTGCTTCAGGAACTGTGGCGACAAAAACTGGATTGGGACGAATCGGTTCCCATGAATTTACATACCAGTTGGAATGAATTCAAACAGAATTTACTACAAATTGACCGGATATCCATTCCTCGATACATTTGTTTGTCTTCCTATGACAGTGTTCAAATCCACGGATTTGCTGATGCATCGAGCCACGCCTATGGCTGTTGCATTTATATTCGTACCGTGGCCGGGACAAATAGTTTGTCAAGACTGCTGACCGCCAAGTCGAGAGTGTCCCCCCTCAAAACCAAATCAATTCCAAGGCTCGAACTGTGTGCGCGCTCTGCTTGCCAAATTATGGGCTCAAGTATTTCCCTTGCTTAACAAATTGGAGTTTGAAAGCATCAACTTCTGGTCGGATTCCCAAGTCACTTTATACTGGCTAAAGAGGGATCCGTCCACTCTAGCTACATTTGTTGCGAATAGAGTTTCTGAAATTCAAGAGCTCTCAGAGAATGTTGTCTGGCGGCATGTGACCACGGTAGATAATCCAGCCGATTTAGTATCACGTGGAACAGATATAGAGGGTTTAAAATGTACGCTATGGGAAAATGGACCAGAATTTTTACTCCGACATCCTAACGAGTGGCCTCGTTCTCATCAGACTGAGCTTTCACCGGAGTTACAGTTGTCCGAGAACAAGAAAAGCGTGGCAGTATGTTCCGTCACAACAAATCAACCGAATGTCTTCATTGAGCTTGTTAGAAGATGTTCGTCATTCAATAAACTCCTGCGGATTATCGCATATGTAAATCGGTTTATTCAAGGGAAGAAAAATAATCGCGATAAGGTTATTTCGGCTTACGAACTTAAGTTATCGTTTCTAAGAATGCTCCAAGTATATCAAAGAGCTGATTTTGGTTTAGAATATGTCAAGCTAGAGAAATCTGAAACTTTAAGCCCACAGCTTCAACGTCTAAATCCTTTCTTACACACTAGCGAACTAGAAGGCGTAACACTTCAATTAATCCGAGTTGGGGGAAGCGCGGTAAACCTCCTATCAAGACTTATGTTGCCGTTTTCGTGTGTTTTTCGTCAAAGGCTCTTCACCTTGAGCTCGTTGTAGATTTATCCACTGACAGCTTCTTATCTGTTTTTAAAAGGTTCGTCGGGAGGAGAGGGCTGCCGCAGAAGATGTACAGCGACAACGCCACGAACTTCGTGGGAGCGAGCAACGTGCTCAAGGATCTGAGCGCAGCGTTTCACCGCAGTCAGGAACAGTTGAGAGGATACGCGACTCACAGAGGCGTCGAGTGGTATTTCATACCGCCGAGGTCACCACACTTCGGAGGACTGTGGGAGGCAGCAGTCAAGGCCGCCAAACACCGGCTGCTGCGAGGAGTCGGCAACGCCAAGCTGACAGCGGACGAGCTCAGCACCCACCTGGTCGAGGTAGAAGCGCTGCTCAATTCTCGACCAATCGCGTCGCCAGGCAACGATCCCAACGATGGAGAGGCCCTGACTCCAGGACATCTGCTTATCGGACAGCCTCTAATCACGCTGCCGCAAGAGTCCGGCACAGGCGGAATCTCCAGCAAGGCCAGTTGCGGATATTTGAGGCGGTGGCGAATGCTGTCCGATCTCAAGCAGCAGTTTTGGGCCAGCTGGTCCAAGGACTACATCGCCAGCCTGCAGCATCGCAACAAGTGGTGCGTCGAGGGCCGCGATCTGGAGGTCGGGTGTCTGGTGCTCGTGCACGAGGACAACATGCCCCCGCAAAGGTGGCTTACAGGCCGCGTGGTGGCAACAACAGTCGGTGAGGACGGAAGAGTGCGTGTGGCGGAGGTACGGACGTCAGGAGGCGTCATCAAGCGCGCCACCCACAAGCTGGCATTGCTGCCAGTAAGCAACGCTCTTAACGAGGAGGTTAAAGCGCCGGAGGCCTTCAACGGGGCCGGAATGTTGGAGCAGTAGATTAAGTTTTATTGTTAGTTTTAAGGAAAGATGAAAAGAAATAATTATTTGAATACGCAGGCAAAATGTAAACAAACCACCTTAAAAACCAATGTACAAAAGCTTATCAGTTTCACTCAATCTTGAGCACAGCCGAGTTGTTGTGATCTAACTGATAAGCTTTTCAGTTCGTGGCTATGCGAAGTGTTATGCTGCTCTCGGGAGAACATTAACCGATCGAACCTCGAAGCAGCTGGCAGCAATAAACTTTGGAACCAACTTCGTTTCGTTTGTCTCGTTTTTTTGGAAATTCCCCAGCCGCTAGTCGCAAGTCTTTTTTTTGTTTAAATTTTTAAAGTAATTTTTCCGGGAAAACTCTCCCGGATTTTCAAGGTGGTTGGCAAACGTGCTGGCTCGGTCTGCGTCACTGCGCGCCCAGCCGCCCGTGGAATTTCTAATAGGCATCACGGTTTTTTTCGGTGAGCTCAGAGTTGGGTGAGCTCTCCATAGTGAGTGTTTTGTACTATTAGTTGACAATTATGCTTATGCTGCGAAACGCCGTTAGCGTTCCACGTAGATATTCGTAGGGAAGTCATTATTTGGATTGTTGTGAAACCAGCATTTGTATTAATAGATTTTAGTTTCGCATCAGATCTTGCATTGTTGTACGCATAAACGACATAAACTCCGTAAGGCTTTGTTGTAGACTGCATATCAGAGCATCAAAGGAACTTTTTGGCTGCTCTGGCGGTTGATGCTGCTGAGCCGTGTTTGGTTCTTGGTATGCTGATTGCGGCAATGAGCTTTTTGAAGCTGGGGTAGACAGTCCTAATTTTAAAGCACTTGCGTATGTAATATTTTTGGCAGAGTTTATGGGTCCTAGTGAGGATCTGGCTGCAGTCGAGAAGAAGACTTCAGGGTTTGACCTGGAGTCTATCAACTGTTTATTTTGGGTGCGGGCAGTAATTCCCCTCTGGTGGATTCGACTTTTCAGCTTCTTATAAACTGGGCAACCTCTATAGTCAGCAGTGTGATTTCCACCGCAGTTGCCGCACTTTTTTGAGTTGTCGTCATCTTTGCTCGCTGGGCAGTGTGGGGAGTCATGAAGCTCACCACAAACTACACACACTGGGCGCAGTTTACAGTAAGACCTTGTATGGCCAAATTCTTGGCAGTTCTCACATTGTACCGGGCCATTGCGTTTGTGCGGCTCCTCAACCGTAATTCTGCGGTGCAGCAGGAACTGAAGATTGTATATAGGGTGCACTTCGTATTTCTTTAGGGGCTTAATTTCTGGTTCAAGCTCAACCTTAAAGAGTGGCTACGGCTTTCTATCCCTGTTAAGGATATTGAAGACTGTCTTAGCGCTAAATCCCTTCTCTTGTAGCGCCTTTGTTATCTCTGCAGGCGATACTTCGGACTCTATGCCCTTAAGTACGACTTGCAGGCCCTTGCTGCTTTTTAGCTGATACGCATAAAAGTTCTGTCGGTGAGATATTCCGATAATACTCTGTAGTTATCTTCAGACTTCGTATGAACTTTTGTTTCCTGGATGTTGCCCTTTACGAGTGGTATTATGTGGAAGTTGTCCTTGCCAATAAGCTCTATAATTTGGTTGACAAGAACGTTGGAACATTTTTCTCGTATGTAAATTGGCGGGGGCTTAGGCTTCCTTTTTTTCCACTTCAGTAGATAAGGCTTCATAGTCTGCCAAGATTTTAGAACGGTTTGAGTTAGAGGGCGTTTCTATTGCAGCTATGTTAGCATTGCCACGGGTTATTTGCGTTGCGAGTTTAGGGGGCTTAGCTTCCTTTTGCTTTGGATGTAGCGATCCATACCAGTCTGCACAGCCGGCTAAATATTTTCTTTGTTTTTGTTCTCTTTTTCGGGCAGCACAGCTGCAGAAGTATTGATGTTTGCGCTGCTAGCTGATGACGTCGTTAATCGCGCTGTCGTTACAGTTGCGGTTGTTGTTGTTGTCATGGTTGACGTTGTCAAAGAAATTGCGGTGCTAGTTGCTGCGCTCTTTGGCTGCAGAGACATCGATGGTAGCGAGGGGGAGCAAGAACGCGCTCTCTCGCTCTCTAAGTTTAAGAATTCAGTCAAGTTTGGGGTAATTGACCGTGTTTGGGAAAAGCTTGCATTACTTTCGGTTGCTTTGAAAGAGAAGTAAGCGTTTTTTCTTTGTACTGAGAGCCGTCTCTCGTCTTGCTCACGTTGACGTTGTGTGCGAACTTCGTTTAAACTCATTGCGGTCGAGGTTGAGTTTGTTAGAATTAGTGTTTTGTTTTATATTAATTAATTAATTAATCAATATAAGCATTAGCGATTTTCATCGCTGAAAACGTCTTTTCGCGTTGTTTTGGTTTACGAAACCAGTCACTGCACTTTTTTGGATATTATTGAATACTTTATTTTTTTTTCCCCGGAGCACAATAAAAATACACGTCTGCATACGGCGACGGTCCGATAATAGCATGGTAAAAATGATACCAAAGAATATGTCATAGAACAAGTAGACGCATTTCACTGATATAAGTGATACATATACTATGTGTTTAGATGAAGAAAACTGTATTAAGGCTGTAAAATCAAAAATATCACTTTTTGGGGTACCTAACCGTATCATAGCAGATCAAGGTATGAGTTTCACCTGTGGAAAGCTTCGTGAGTTCTGTTCGATGCACAAAATAGAATAACATTTGATAGCAACAGGTGCAAGTAGGGCCAATGGACAAGTAGAAAGGGTCATGAGCACGATGAAAAGTATGTTGACAGCGGTAGAGATCGGTGAACGTTCCTGGCAGGATGCACTTAGTGAGGTACAGTTAGCCATGAATTGTACGACGAACAGGGTGACAAAGTATAGTAAGGACATTTAAGTTTTAGTTTATAGGTCTTTATTTAAATTCTGGAGCAGCCTTAGTGCCGCTTCCAACGTCCAGTTGTTTCTGATTTTTGCAATTTTCCTTAGGCTCTAAGTAAGCCTATGTCTCGTAGCTGCGCTGCCCACAGTTGGGCGGCAGAGAGACGGCTATATATATTTTATATGTACTATATGTATTTAATTGTACTATCTTTAGCTGGAGCGCGAGGGTATATGAATGTACTTGAGTTCGGTTGAGCGGTTCATGATGACGTCGTATTTCTTGTCGTCTAGAAGTATTCCTTTATCAGTGCGTTTATGACCTTGAAAAGTCACTTCTTCCATAAAAAAAGAACATTTTTCTGGATGTAACTTCAGGTTATATTTCCTACATTTCTCAAAAACATCTGTTAAGTTCTAAAGCATATGTTATTCGGAACAACCTATTACTATTAAGTCATCCATATAAGGGAATGCTTGGGAAGGTTCTAATCCAGAGAAAGCAATAGTCATCATCCTCTGAAATGAATAAGGCGCTTTTTTTAAACAGAAAGGTAATCGAGTGAAACGACACGAGCCATTGCTCGTTGAAAATTACGTTATATCTCGTGAACTCTTTTCAAGTTCAATTTGATGAAATCCTGACATAAGGTTAAGACACGAAAAATGTTTTGCTCGCCCTAGTTGATCTAATATTTCATCAATTCTATGGAGTGCAAATTTATCGGACAATAATTTTTTGTTTCTTTGACGATAGTCAATCTAATCGTGTTATGTGCCGCGAATAGTCGTTTGAAGTAATTGCAAAATGCTAGAAAACGTCTTTCAGCATGACGTCTTATCTGTGCACTTATGACCTAGAAAAGTCAGCTCATGCATAAAGAATGAACATTTCTGTGTGAATGTGGTATTCCCTACATTTCTCAAAAACTTCTGTTAAGTTCTTAAGCATATGTTTTTTGTATAAACATATAAAGGAATGCTTGTAAGGGTTAAAGTACAGAGAATGCAATAGTCATCATTCTCTGAAATGAATTAGGAGCTATTTTTAATCCAAAAGGTAATAGCGTGAAGCGATATGAGCCATTGCTCGTTGAAAAAGACGTTATATCCCTTGAATTTTTCAGATAGTAATTTTTTATTGATCTGGCGATAGTCAATCACTAATCGCCATGTCTGTACATCTGATCCTGGGAATGATTTCTTAGGAACAAGTAACAATGGGCTATTATATTCGGATTCTGATGGTTCAACAATCCCGTCGGAAATTAACTTTCCTACTTGCTTTTGTATTTCGTCCACCTTACTATGTGGGCTTCGATAATTTTTTATATAGACTGGTTCTTCATCTTTTATTCTCAGTTTTTGTTTATGGAAATTGTTTGTTGATATTGATTCGGTTTCCAATCCGAATATATCACTATACTGGGTGCATAAGCTGGAAAGCTGTGACTTGAACTGTATAGGGAAGTTTTTTGAAAGTTGAGATAATACCGATTTTTCTCGATTTTCAAGATTTGTTTTGACTACATTGTAGTTCGAAAGTGTTTCATATATTACTGACTACTTGGTAGGTATTCGTTGTATTATGTACCCCTTCGAAAGCGTTATTAGACGTTGCTATGGTATTTGCAATGTAAATACCATGCTGAATTTCCTAATTTGTCGCCTTTTGAATGAAGTTCAATTTTCCGAATAACCTGTGATCTTGCTGGCAGAAGTATTGAGTTGTTTCCAGAACTGTGAGCTATTGGTACGTTAATTGGATATTTTAAATGGTTGGGTCTAATTATAAGCCAATCTTCAGATGGCTTGAAGTCTAGTTGACAATTATATTTTTGGGAATAGGAAATTGTAAGCTTACGATATGAAAATCGTGTGTAATTATATACTTAATCGTATGTATTTCGATAGAAACTAAATCTTTGGAGTTGGTTATTTCTTGAGTAATTCCCTTTATATCTATAATATAGTCGTCTCGGATATTGTTAAAAATATCTGAAGTTTCTTTTAAAATTGATATGCCTGCACCCGTGTCTATTAGAAATATAAGTTCTTTCCTTGTAGTTACAGTGGTAAATTAAACAAATACATTTTGGCTGAGATTAATAGTGTGAACTCTTGCTTCTTCTAATGCTGAACATTACCTTATCGATCGTGCAGTTCTTAGTCATTGCCTTGACGGCATGTTGAGTGGAATAACTCCTTGCCAATTCTAGTAATAGTCCGTCTGATATGTATGCTCTTTCTAAGGCTTTCGTCATCTGCTCAACCTCTTGCGTGTATTGGTTTGCAGTTTTGTTGCGTTGCTGTAGATGCATCAGTTTTGCTGACAATACTTCTACAGTTT